TGGAGAAAATTTTGAAAGAAAATAAAACTGATTTCGATCGTAAACATTTGTTTTTCCATTATTAGGCCCGAAATATAAATAGCAACCCTCGTATTGTGTGGGAAAGCTTAATTATAAATTCGCTTAGCCAAGAATCGGAAAATCAATTTTTAATTATAAAATGAGGATTCGATAGCTCTACCGCGATATAATTCTTACAAAGTAGTAATACTGTGGGTCTGAAGGCAGTGATTCAGCTGCGTGTATAACAACTATTGTAACCTTCCAAAGTAGTTATTAATTCTAAAATAATTTTGTGCAAAGGTTTGGTTTGGTTGATTTACACTGGAACCTTCGATCATGAGCAAAAATTGCCTCGGATCATGAGCAGTTTCTCTACTTACGAACACTCAGGTCGACAGCATATGATCTTCGAAGGTATGCTTTAAGGTAACCTATGGCATACAATTAACACTCAGGGACATCTGCAAAAAATCATTTTAATATTTTCTATTGCTTAACAAGAGTGGAAACAAATGACTTATAGGACCGTGACTTCGGTCTTTAAGAAATTACGGCCAGGCTGAGACGCTGAGCACTTTGAAAATTGCATGAGCCCTTGTTTTCGTTTTCTATAATATTGTGTCTCTAGACAAAGTCATGTGTTAGGAAGTTAACAGAACATATGGAGAAGTTAGTAAAAAACCATAAAATTGAGCTCAACAAGGAAAAATTACAAAAACTTCAAAACAGCAACAAGAGGCGATTATAGAAGAAATGTCTTTAGGAGAATCAAAGGAAAATGACCCTATGTATCTGATCGGCGATTTTGTGCAAAATGGGATAAGATACAAAATTTTGGCATAATGACAGTACCCTGATTAAGCAGTAGCAAACTACAGCATAAGCAGTTTCAGTGAGAATGCCATGTCTCACTTCAGAAACATTTTAAAATGTAGGAAACAACAAACCGCATTAAATAAAGTTAGAGTGTAATAGAGGCCTATTGAATAGCACTTAGAAGTAAAGGAACGATGACAGAAGATGCTCTCCTAAAGAAAATTGTATGTGATGTTTTTATGGAAGGAAATTTAGCATCCAAACAATAACATCTTCCTTATCATTTCCCACTCTCATTTTTACAGGTAAAATTAAATAAAGATTCCATTTATTTTATCTGTTTAATATTCCCAAAGTGATGTTGTAAACGTTAAATAAGCAATCATCTGGGTCCAGAAATGAGTTAATCCATTTAAATCATGGAAAATGTTATTTCGGTTTACAAACGTTTCGATTGAAGAACGGCCTTCAGGAACGAATTAAGTTCGAAAACCGAAAAAAGGTTAGCGCCAATTGGCGCAGCTTTCTATTTCAACGGAGTACACGGAAAAAAGAACATAAAATTCAATTATTTGTAAAAGTGATTCCAGTAGTGTCACAGTGTGTCTGTGACCATGGAGGTAGGAAAGGGAGGAGGGGCCATTCCGCGCTAGAAGTGAAGCACTGCTTTGAAGCTTGGGTCACCAGACGGGGTGTTCTTTGTTTACATTCAGAAGCTCGCTTGACAAGATTCTGATAGTATTTAGAGAAGAACTATAGAACACGACAGTTCCATAGAAATCGAAAAAAGGACACTCTCGCATGAAAGAAACATTCATAGTGTAATGGATAATAGCAATTTGTATAGTTTACTGACATTTACGCAAAAATCACATCTTGGTTATTTTTCGATAACTAACGACAGCGATTTTGATTATGAATTTGTTTTATAAAATTCTAAGCTGTTGCACTACAAAAATATAGATTTTAAGAAAATTGCTAAAAGAGATCTGCCAAAATTTATTTTCTAGAAGATTTGAAAAGTTTGAAACTTGATGGCTAAATGTAAATATAAAATTATTTATGTTAAAATATTTGTAATTAGGCACATAGGTCAGATTAAGTTTTTATTAAATAGAGTAACGCATGCAAGGGCTATCTGCCTAAAGAGAGAGATGCCATCGTGGAGGAATTTTGAAGAAAAACTGACCTTTGAGTGGGTATTAAAAATAATACTTATAATTTTCACTCAAATTATATTCATATATATTTTTTATGTAAAACTTTCGGGTCTATGCTAAATTAGTGTAAATTACTTTACACGAAAAATATAGTGAATGCACAGAAATTAAAGATTTGAACATGCCGGAAATGATAAATAGGAAATATGTATGGGTATTTATGCATGTGCTTGCAAAAAGCATCTGCCTTTGACAAAATACTTAAATATTCATTAAATTATTTATAAATGTATTTGAAATGAATAATTTATTCACTTTTAAACAACTGTGAAAGTACTGTGAAGAAATCTAATGATTAAATGTATCTAATTTATAATGATTATAAATGTTATCTAAATATATAATAACCTTAATATTGAATTGTAAACATAAATTGAAATCCTGTTGACAAATACGTTATAAAACTATTTAAGCAAGAATTGTTCGTATTGGAAAGCAATCTGTTAAAGGTATTGTAAAGCAAATGCTATGAGATGCGCACTTAAGAACGTAATAAAGAGTTTTGGAATATGTATTGTTGAAATGAAGGGTAAAAAAAAAAATCTGATAAGTATAATTAAAAGAATTATTCCCTTTACACTTTATAATAACTCAGTTACAAAGTTTTTAAACAATACTTAAAAAAAAAAAAAAAAAAAAAAAAAAAAAAAAAAAAAAAACTTATTTTATTCCCTTTCAGAAATGTTCAGAGAAAGTCAAATACTATTTAATACCTATTTAATTATTAGGAATTAGCGAAAATACTTATTTAAAGTATTTCGCTAATTCCTAATAATTCTCTAATTTAAAATGAACCGAATGAGCATTAATTATAAATTGACTTACATTTTTCGATTTAAAAGAAGCCAAAAAATCATGTCATATTTAAGAAAGTATTTTAGGAAGAAGCTCTATAAATAGAAAAGAAATAATGCATAATTTTAATATTAATAATACAATAAACTTTGATCTTAATTTTTGTACCTTAACCGAATAAAATCGAATTACCTCAATTTTTTTTTTCTAATGTAATTAACGAAAACTTTTGAAAATATTTCATTCAAATTAAACCATTCTGAGAAAACTGTCCTGTAAAAATTATAGCATTTAATTCCGTTCAGAATGAAATGTTTTTTAAAAATATGCTGTTTTCACATACTTAGGACTCTGAAGTGTTGTAGAAAAAGAAAATATATACATTTATATGTATATTTGCGACGTAATTACAAAATATTTACACCCGAACGCGTCAAATCCCATAAAACTCAATGGTAAATGACCCAATGTTTTGGTCACCACGTAGGGATCGCCGGTGCTTCAGAGCAGGGTACGGGAGAAACATGTTTAGGGCGACTCCATCTTACTTCCTACCTCCATGTCTGTGACGGTCTTATGTCATCGGCCTCTAATGGCAACTACTCACGGAGCCGGATACATCGTGCTTTGCGCGAGATTCCGGCGATGCTAGTACCGACTAGAGTAGTAGCTAGTTTCTCTATAAATTGTCAGCAGATATGCCAGGCACCTAAAAGTAGTAATTGCACCTAGGTGATCTTTGTACGAGTTAAGAAAGGTTTCTTAATTTATCTCCTTGACTTGCCACCATGTCAAAATTTTTCGTCCCTAGGACGCGGTGCAAAAATTTGTACCTTTCACTTAATTTTAAAAATCCTATGGTTTTGTTTACTACAATTATTTAATCGTTTACTGATAATTTTGTCATGGGGCGCTATCTGTTGTCGTATGATGCAAGCAATAGCAATGGCTATTTAAGCTAAGTATTTTTGAACTATAGGTACTCCGTAACTTATAATCATTAGCATTGAGGAAGTATGACATTTTTCTGGATTAAGCAGTTTCAAGAAAAAGCAATTATCGTGAGATAAGCACAATTTTCCAAGGTAAAGAACAGCATTTATCGCTTTTAAATTGCTTAGTTTGTTAATTAGTAATAGCCAGATTTGGATGAAAAAGTAAATATCTTACGTTTTGCCGAATGGTAACACAAGGGCGCATAGAAGATAGAAGTATTTTACTTTCGGCAGTAGCAACATATTTTTTTCAAATTGCTGAGTTTGTTGATTAAATTGAAAAGTTAAATATTTTAAGCTTTGTTGAGAGGTAACCCATTTCTTTTAAATTGCCAAATTTTCTTATTCAATTTGAAACGTAAATATCTTACGCTTTGTCAAGTGGCAACTTGTTGCTTTTAAATCGCTAAGTTTTTTTAATTAAAATTTCATTTAACTTCGCACAAAACATAAAATAAATAAATAAAGTGTCTGAAAGCTTTCAGATTTGAAATTACTCCCAAAAGAGCGTTTTTATACCCTTTTGTGTGTTACTTTTATTTATTAAAAGTTCTTTGCACTTAAACCATAAAATTCAATTCAACAGCAATATTGCAAAATAATTTTAAAATGAGCATACCTGTAGAATTTCCTATGCACAGTCTAGCGCGCTGGAGATAATTATTATTTTTTTTTTTCCCATACAATATTGCTCGCTTTGAAATCGTCGAGTTTGTTAATCAAAAATTCGTTGAAGTTTTACAAAATCAATCGATAATAAAATACTATTTCAAATTCCAAATTAGGGCTTCCAGATGCCCATATTCGGTGGAAGATTACGTTATTCATAACCGGATGGCTCTATAGGTACCGTTGTTTTATAATAATGCCAGAAAGATACATACATTTATACAGTTTTTCACTATGTAAATTCTCATTCTTCATAATATAATACAGGGCGATAATATTTGGTGGGAACAATTTGAAAAGTGAATCGACATTTAAAGTTTCCAACGCAAAATGCCAGAAAGAAATTAATAGCCCTTGGCTAACGCTCTTTGGGTTAATAATAATAAATTCAAAATTCGGGCTCCGAGGAGAACATGATGGAGTGCAGAACTACCTGTATTGAAAGTTAGATATTTCTAGGTGCCGCCTTTCTTCTACAGTGTAAGCAGTAGACATATACACATAGATTCTTCGTTATTTAATAAAGATCAAGAAAATGGCATTTTCAAACAATGGTATATTTAAACGTATCAAAATAAAAATAATTTTCATTATTCTGGTATTTAATGACTAGCATTCAATGAAATCTTCCTTTGAAAGTTCCTTCAGTTTTTTATACTCTTCCTTTTTGTGTGTGCATCTTCCAAAGACGTGATAAGGTCTCTTCTCTGATAGAATCCAAGAAAGTTCACAACTGCATTTCAAAGGGTTATCTGTTGAGAATAGAGAAAGCACAATTTTAGTATTAAGCATAAAAAATAAGATGAGAAAGCGCATACACTGATACAATAGATAAATAGATCATTGTCCAAAATGATCGGGAGGCCATGATTTTAACGTGGCATCATAGCTCTCGACTGTGGGAAAGTGAGCAACAAAATTGCTTACGGCAGGAAAATCTACAGAATAGAAAATCTTCTGAAAAAACTCGCAATAGCACTGATGTAATGATTGCCAGCGTTCAAACCAGCAAGCAGTTTGCAGCAATAAAATGAGATTTATTAGAATTGTTGTATATTTTATTCAGTCTGAAGACTTTACAATAACGCAATTTCATTGCCCGCCTTGCTAATATTGCCATCGCATGATGCAATCAAATGTGTAGCTGTGTTTCTAACTGACCTTGTAATTGTATTTAGAAATTTGCGATAATGTTAAAAACACGTATTTTAATATCACAAGATTTACATTTTTGGGAATTTAATAACATATTTTTTTAATGTTTTGATGACTCGTTCTTTTTTTTTTTTTTATCTAATACATTTATATCAAGTAACAAAGTGGAAAAAGAAAAAAATTATTCGAATTCATTGAAACTTTCGAGGTCATGGAGTATAATAAAAGACACCAGCCACTCGAGCGACTGAACCATGTAAATGTGCATTCAAAAACATTTGTCATGAAACAATTAGAATGCAAACACGCTTCTTGAAATATTCCCAGACTATTTTAGTTTTATGTATATTGGAAGAAAGGGAGTTTAAACACAAAGTGGGAGAATAGCTTTAGAATTATTACACTGGTGTGCAAAAATTAAGGACGAGACGGTTTTTTCAATATAACTTTGTACAAAAGCTTTCCAAATCAACACATTTAATACCGTAAGATCCCCAATACGTAAGGACATGAATAATGTAAGCAACACTTACTAAAAGAGAAATCAGAGGGATAAAAAGAAGCTTTATTGAAAAAGTAGCATGGAGCGCAATGCGACTGAAGGCCGAAACATCCCTGTGATGAGTATCCAGCAAGAAACATCCGGTCTTTAATAGGGGATATGATCTCCCCTGACTGCTAGGCAGGTTTCACAGCGTCTGCCCATGCTGAGAATGAGGGTGTCAATGAGTTGTTGAGGCATTACTGCCCATTCGTCTTGCAGCGCCAATCGAAGCTCCGGAATCGTTACTAGTGGTAAGCTACGAGCTGCCAAGCGTCTGCCTAGAAAATCCCATACATGCTCGATGGGATTGAGATCCGGAGATCGTGCCGGCCAATCCATACGTTCAATATCCTCACTCTCTAGAGAGCTGTTCGGCAGCTACTGTGCGATGACATGGTGCATTGTCGTCCATGAAAAGGAACTGCGGACCCATAGCGCCTCTAAAAAGACGCACATATGGAAGAAGAATCTCGTTACAATAACGGGTCCCGTTGACTAAACCTGCGTCGAAGATGTGAAGGTCTGTACGACTACCAAACATGATGCCTCCCCAAACGAGAACACCGCCACCTCCATACCTCTCCCTTTCAATGATGTTCGAGGGATGATTGCGGCTTCCCCGCTCTCTCCAGATGAGTATGCGATGAGAATCGCTACTCAGACTGAATCTGCTCTCATCTGTAAAGAGTACTCGTCCCCATTCATTCTCTCTCCAATTCCGGTGTTCCCGGCACCACAGAGAACGCCTTCTCCGATGAGCAGGCGTTAGAGGTACACACCGTACAGGGCGTCGTGCAAACAGACCACCACCGTGCAGTCTTCTGGCCACGGTAAAACGCGATATCGGTTGCCCTGTCCCTGTTCGTGTGTCTAGCGATTTCTCTCGCTGTCTGCCGCCAGTTCTTTCTGGCCTGTAAGGCAATATACCGGTCATCGCGGGTGTGGTTCCCTGGTGACGACCACTACTAAACCCCCGGATAGCTGTTCTTGTAGTTTGAAAATTGTCTCTAAAGTCGTGAAACGATGCTGTGAGCAATTCCGAACTCTGCAGCCACACTTGTCACACTGCGGCCTTCTTCCAACTTCCCAATGATTCGACCTCGGGTAAAAGCATCCAGATGTCGTCTAACACATTGATTATTCGCCATTTCTCGCTGAGGCAGCAACTCGGTGTGATTTTAACTGCTATACGGCGTGCAATCTCTTTGCCAGAAATACTGATCCAATGCCAATGATTTGCAATTTTCGGAGTGCCTATGGTTCAAAACCATGTACCTCCACATCAGAATTACTAAAAGTGAGCAGAAATAGGAAAAATTTGGCATAAGTGAGTTACTTGATGCTCAATAGAGGGAGCCACAGGCTCGAGAAAAGTTTAGGGATGGGATAAGAAAAAAAAAAAATATCATCATTTTTATACGTTTTTAGGTTTTTATTATTTTTTTTTTTTTAATTTTTACTTTTTTTTTTTTTATAAATTTTTTACACGATACAAACACTAAAGCAAAAAGCGGATAGGAAAGAGTTTACGATTAATAGGCTCATTGGCATGTGGCTTGTGTAGGAAAGTGCAAATAATAAATGGAAACGCGATGAAAATATTCTTAGGCTGATTTAGAATCTGCGGGAGATGTGATTCTTAAGTAAACAGATTGATAACTTTGCTTGAAGATCTTGAATTGCCGTTGTTGAAGATGTAAAAGCAATTATATGGCAGCTCGCTGAAGAGACGTCCTTCCTTCATGGCGCGGGGGCTGGAACTGTTGTTGAGAGGGCGTGTCTTGCCCTTTTGGACGGCGAGTAGATGCCGAACTCTCGGCCAATCACGGCTCTCGGTCTCTGAAATACTGATCTTACACCGACAACATGCTTTATACTACTCAGACACTACCCCATTACGTCTACCTGCATATCTGCGCATGTGCTACCGTACATCACCTTACTTAATCTCCTGATTGGTTTTTCTGTCCGCTCTGCCTCTTCGTTCAGCTGATATGCTAATTTTTCGACTTCGTCCTTAATTTTTGCACACCAGTGTACTAAGAATATACGCCTTATTTCATAGCATTTTTTGGGAACCTTAGGTTTGGGACCTAAATCGCTTGGAGGGCTAGCGTAAGAAAATACAAACAAAATTATCAGTAAAGAATTAAATAATTGTAGTAAACAAAAACATAGGATTTTTGGGTGGATGAATTGCTTTTTATCGGAGGTCTGTCAATACGGAATGTAGTCATGTGTGTTGAAAACACAATGTCTACAGCATTCCTTCATACCATGAATAAGATTATGTATGGCGATTATGAATATCTGTGCTCATCCACAGAATGTTAATATTCTTGGCACATAAGGGCTCAAGAATCATGGAGAAAAATATTTAACACCTTCCAAGACGTTTCATACATGGTCATAAGATTCAAATCATATGATCTTGATGGCCGTTCTGTACCAAACAGATTTTTCGATTCTAAGTACTGACCGACATTTCAAACCTTATGAACTCGCGCTCCGTCAATCATAAGAATGGCACAAGACCCATATCCTTTGAAATAGATGAATATAATTGAGCAAAAATGTGCGATACTATGGCGTGAAACGTGTGGTTTCACTGAAGTTACAGTACGCCGACCAGCTGGTGTCTTGGTTAGAAACGTTGACTACCGTACCTATGGGCTCGAGTTCGAATTCTGGAGAAGGTATGGATATTTGTAAAAGCAGGTAGTGTCTATGCGGCAAATAGACGCTTAAAACACATTGCGACCCGAAATTCCTCTCGAGAGGTAGTGGTAAAGAAAGAGGGATGGGAGACTTTTTGGTCCACTTCCCGGGGTGCCCTCCTTCAAAATGAAGCGGAAGCTTAACAGTTAGCTAGATTCAGCAATATCTCAATCAACTATGGTACTACAGAGCTGCTGAAGTAGCTTCTACTTGCACCTTATAAACACAGTGCCGCGAGCTATGGGGAGCTGTGCTGCCGGCCGCCAATTGCAATCCCCACCCAAACCTTTGGTACTGTATGCGTGCATTTCGCGGATGTTACTGACATGCTAGTGAATTTCAGATATTTTACGGAACAGTAATTTTAGGTAGTCAGTCTGTAGATCAAATTACGATTCATCGGAAAAAAGCACAGTCTGTATGTAGCCTGTGAGCAGTTAGCGAAGATACAGATTTTTTAATCGATTTGCAAGGTCTGAAGCAAGTTGATGTACAATGATCCTCCAGTGGCGGCGTGCGTGCTGACACAGAAAAACGGTTATACTGAGTGATCGTGATTCTCGTATGTCTACTTTCCGATTTTGCGAAACAGTTGCTTCACTTTGACAGTAGTTTTACAGACGGCAAACAACGGGACGTTGATAAATAAACGTCACCCTACTTCTCGAATGTCGCTGGCCCGTTACGAGACACATTGTTACTTTCCATTATCTGGCGTCTCTCAAAAGATATTTGTAAGGATCATCAATTATAAATAAAAGAAAGAAGAACGCTTGTGATTTAAAATTAGAGACAGGGCAGGTGCTACGAGAGAACGGAAGCAGAAGTGAGCGCTGCTCACCGTGATTAATTAATCACCTATCGTTTAAATTTCTTTGTATATGTTAATAAAATATGCTGTTTGTTCTGTAAAAAAGTCTGGATTAATGGCTCCTGTCATTTGGAGTATCTACGATCTCTTCAGCGCGCCATCATAAAGAAGAATAAAAAATATTTCTGTTAGCCGTTGTCCACAACAAAGAAAACAGTTCTACTATATTGAATCTTCATTTTCCAAAATTTGGCTATTGTAATTTTCGTTCTGAAATCCATAAAGTAGAAATGCAGACTTTGCACAAAAAGCAAGTCACTTCTAAGCTTAACAAATTCCTTTGATTTGTTATGGGAAATTTTTTTGCGGGTTTCTCTCTGCGTGTATTCATTTGTAATATATGAAAATTTTGTAGCTACCTGTTTTATTTTCCTCCATATATGCTGATTTTCCAGTTTGTTGCTTATTTTTTGGAAGTGTATATTATAACTGTCTTCTCAAAGTAACATTCCCCCAGAGAAACATAACACGTATCTGCTAATGAATATTTTCTAAACTGCATAATTTTATTTTCATTCATGCCTTTTGTTATCAGGTTTGTTGCATACTTCATAATGTTTTCGCGCTGTAAATAATCAGGCGCTGATTTTTGTTTGCAAAATAAAAATGCTCTTGAGAACAAAAATTCTAGTTACTTTACTGTTAGAATTAATAAAAGCAATTTCCTATTGGTAAAATTACATAATATGAACGCTTGTCAGTCGCTGATTTGCAAACCTAGAAAATTACTGAAGATCTGATATGGATATATTGTTACGAAATGCCTAGTCGCGGTAAGAAAGCTTCCCCGCAAAACTTATTTAGGGTTGCCAGAAAATGGCAAAGAGAGGCAGGGTTGCTATACTAGGAGCGAAATCGCCTATTCGGCGACAAAATTGGCGATATGCCATAGACGGAGCGAGAACATTCTAGAATGAATTCTTACCGATTTACCCCAGAAATGTTCTCGAAGGCAGGTCAAAAGCTGTATAAACCCTGCCTGCATGCGGTGTAACAGTGTATTTTTTGAGTGCATCGTGAGCGTACCGTGAAGAATATTGAGAGCACGTTGAGTAGTGTCTTGAGCTCCGAGAGCGACCGAACCGAGTCGGGAGCTGTACTTTAGTGTTTTGCCGTGAAGCTGTTTTCACCGTTCTATCCTGAAGGCTGATTGTTTCAGCATGTTTATCGTAGTTTTTCGACTACAATAAACATGTCTTTGGAACTGTCCTCAATAATACTGGCTACTAAATTGTATTTTGATTCTTCATGAAGTATTGTAATCAATCATTCCAACGAACCCGTAGAACGCAACAATATATTCAGCGAATGGTTAAAACAAAAAAGTATTATTTTATCCATGCATAAACCACTGCTATTCACATAATAATTAAACTCGTTATTCCATTAAATGAAGTCAAAAGAGGAATTTTAATCCCCCACCTGTGCTAAAAAAAATAACATTAAAAAATCTAATATACGATCATAAACGGAAAATACCTAGTGGCGTGATATTCAGTGTTAAATACTAGTTTCTGTTTTTGATTTCCGTAATCGTATAAAGTGACTGAAAATGGCTTCGGTTGTTCTTTCTACCATCTGTAAGTTGCTATACTAAAAACTGCTGTGTTTATATAAATCGTGCAGATAAGGTATGGTTTCCTCCCCCCCCCCTTTAAAGGAGTTAGGTACAAACATATGCAGTCAGAATTTTTTTTTTAAATTTTTAAAAATAAGACTGTAAAATCGTATTAAATCCACACATTTACTACAAACAATACTCAATGTTCTACAACTCACACATGCACTACAAACACTACACAATGTGCTACAATTCACGCATGTACAAATACACATATGAATTAAAAAATAGTAAGTATTTTGGAGCTATTGGAAAATTTAGGTTAAGTAATAACTATAGCAAATAATTAAATGCGAAAAATTAGTACTGCATAGAGTGAATTCGAGTTATAAAAAGCTCTCTGTCTAAATTATTAAGTAGTTACACGTTTATTAAGTAACTAATAAGACATTTTAAATAATTTTCAATTTGCACATTTCTTCTTTTTTACTTCGTTTAATATTTTTTATTACATTAATTGTAAAGGATATTAAAACGAAACACACATTCTTACTTTCTACATCAAAATAGAACAAGGTAGGAAAAACTTTCTCCATATAGGTTTTCTCAAGAACATTGAACACATTTCCTCGAAGAATCAAGGTATGGAGTTCCGTAATCCCTTCAAACATATCACTTGGTAGTGAGGTTAAGCGGTTGTAACTGAAATCGTTTATAAAAATGGCAGAATTATTCTCTATGGCAAAGGTTATATTTAAAAGACAAAGTATACACATAATTAAAGTACAGCACACTATTTTGCATCAAGTTCAAAAACACAGAAAAAAAAAAAGAATAATGGTAATAATTTATAAACATAAAATATGTAAACCAAATGATGCATGTCAAAACACAATTTCTAGATATGCCTTCTGTATACAGTTTTATAAAATTTATGGCAATAACTTAAAGGAAAGTAGCACATCAAAACATTCTTTAAAAAAATATCTGAACAGAACAAAAGCGGGAAAATGCTAGAAGAAGGCTATCTGGCGTTTTTTTTTCTAAATGAATGTTTTTAGAAAGTCTACGGCTTTCTCAGAGCCATACAGCGCTCGGAAATTTGAGTCGGAATTCTTGAATCTAGAGCAGAAGAGCTCTTTTGCTCTAGAGGCACAGGATTCCACTCCCATGTTACGGACTCAAATTCTCTCCCCGAAGCTAGGCGTCATCTCGCATCGCACTTCTGATTCGACACACAAATGTCTCCACGAGCAAGGCGCCCGTAAAACCACCAAAACGTTGAACACCACTGAAAGCCATAAATAACGGCTTCGCGGCAACCATAGGCTCATTAGTTGCACAGCAGATTTCTTCTGTGACACGTCTATTTACAAGTGCTGAAAAGCACCTTATTAAAAGCATTGCTAATTACACCGTAACAGGTCGCCCTGACTATTATATTATAGTAATTAACATCGCCAACTGCTGTATTGCTGAGTCCAGGCACGAGTCCCGAAGAACGCGTGGTTGTTTAAAAGTGTATAGTATATGTGCAACACAGGAGCGCTTAAAATACATGGTAAGTTCTCTCAAGTGGTTTGATGGTAGGGAAAGAAGAATGTAGAACCCTCCGTCTGGGGATTCTTCATCAAAACTGGGGCGAAGCTTGCAAAATCGTACTGTGACCAATAACATTCCCGAGACCCACGCCAAACGACAAACACAATCTTACATTCCTCACCTTTATAAAATTCATGGTCTTGTTTTAATGTTACTGTGGGATAAGTGAGGATAACTCACAGAAGCAGCATAATAACTTATTAAGATGTCCTGTGAACAATTCCCCGCCGGACAAGATGCCGGATCGCACCATATCAAAATAAATGTTTGCACAGCCAGCAATTGTGAAACGAGAACCTTCTAGGTCAGCAAACAGGAAGATCTCTTTCAAAATGTATGAGAATTCCTAAAATGGAAAACCGTCCTGCATATTGAAAAACATCCACAATTCGCATCCATGCGTTAGAAAACAAACACAGAAGCTTTGCATGCAGCATGGATACGAATTATAGCACGGTATAGACAGGTTTGCATTGAAGACAGTTGCAATACTCCCATTATCAAAGAGTTCATATACAAAGAGCTAAGGATTATCCTTGTCAAACTTCACTCGCTGGTTTATCGGATTTACTCCAGAAAATAAGACCTCCTTTTTATGCTATATTTTTGTTCTAAAATTTGGTAAATTTTTATAATCGGGTATTTTGATAAATGAAATTATATAATAATAACAGGAAGGATTATAATTATCCTATTATATAAAATAATTACATCACTTAAGCATCAAATAAATTGCTCAGGTAATTACTGTATATTTAAAATGCATAACTGTCGCTAATTATAATAGCTATGCCTAGTTGAATGATTTCAATTTAGGCCGGCATCCGATCACTGGTATACTTGAATACAAAGAACTAACGATACCGTTACTTCATGGAAATTCTGAAGGAAGAGGGAAAAAAGTTAAGTTTTCTTTCACGAAGTTCCTGCAAGAAAAAAAAAAAAAAAAATCTATAATTTTATTTCTAAAAATTTATCCTAAAATATAAGAAAAGTCTTGTTTTTGGGTGAACATGGTATACATGTACACAGCGAGAAAAAAAAAAAAAAAAGAAAAAGAAGGAAAAAAAAAAAAAAAAGGACAGTTCTATATCTCTCGTTCTGCTGCGCCGATTGACGAAATTTAAATTGCGTTTTTCATGTCTCGAAAGCGCGACTTAGGATATGTATTAGATTTATATATAGCATTGTTCTAATACAGGTATTATTTTTACATAAAATCGGACTTTTCTGAAATAATATACCAATTTTTTCCATATTTCTAGATATGCCTAAATGTTACAACTCCAATGTTCTACAACTCCAATTATGCTTAAATGTTAGATATTTGTAAAATTTGGTGGGAAATTTAGGGAGAAATTTAAAAATTTATCTTGGAGCGTTTTCTTCAGTTTGCGTCAACAATAATTCAGATAGCGAACTGATTAATATACGGCAGCCTATTTTCCTTTCCCTTCCATTGTGCAGGAGCGGAAAGAAAGTCACATCATTCCTACTTTCAAATAATTTTAATAAAGTGCTCAAACCACATTTGATGTTATTATCGCTTTGAGCAAATATGCCAAATTCCAAAACGCGCCAATATACAAATTCACGTATATCTTCGGAAATTTTTAATAAAAAACTTTAATCTTTTGCAGGTATGCTTAGAAATACTAACATGATGGTAAAAATTTTATAAGTTATAATTCAAAATGTTTTTCAAAAAATTTATAAAATTTATTTTAAAATACAAATTTTAAAATTAATCATAAAAATGGAGTAATTTTATTGGAATGAACTTAATTTTCGAAATGTGAAAGAAAATCATATAAGTTGAATAAAAAAAAGAGAATAATAACTATATACCAAATTCAATTAATCTAAATTTTAAGAGCTAATTTTTAAAAACTACTCGTGCTCCTAAATTTATAAGTTATAATTCAAATGTTTTTCAAAAATTTATAAATTTTATTTAAAAATACAAATTTTAAATTAAATCATAAAAAATGGAGTAATTTTATTTGAATGAACTAATTTTTTCGAAATGTGTGAAAGATCATATAAGTTTGATAAAAAAAGAGAATAATAACTATATACCAAATTCAATTAATCTAAAATTTTAAGAGCTAATTTTTTAAAAACTACTCGTGCGATTTTTACAAAATTTGCCAGTTTTTCATAATTTAAATCGTAGAATCGAAATATGATAAAAAAAAAGGGGCCATGTCATTTCAGAAAAAGGTTCGATTTTGTGTCAAAATACCTATATTAGAACAATGCTGTACATAAATTTAATACATATCCTAAGTCGCGCTTTCGAGACATGAAGAATGCAAGTTGAATTTCGTCAATCGGTCCAGTAGAACACAAGAAATAGAACTGTCATTCTTCCCCCCCCCCCCGCAGTGTACAAGCTGAAGTGAGGCCGACTTCTGTGCGTCGATGCACGCATATTAGATATCGCAAGGTTTTGTTCCTTCCATGTCAGTTTGGAGATCCAGGGAGAACACCGCGGGGGAGGGGGAAACAATCAGAACCTGGGCTCTTCGATACGACCAACATCATTAGCCATTATCCCATCTGGACAGTGACGTACGGTGTACACATACAGGTAGAAATGGGAGACACACCAGAATTTCTCTATATGTCGCACAGGTATAGTCTAGCCGCATTAAGTGTTATGTTATGACCCAGTTTTGAAGTAAAACATCCCCGGCGAGAAGTCCGAGGTCTTCTATCCATCTTTCCCTACCATCAACTTTAGGCTAGCCTTGTATTTTGAGTGTCCCCTTGACGCAAAGACACTTAAACGCTTACAAACATGTATGCCTTCTCCGGGTGGGCCAATAGGTAAGGCAATCAGCGTCACTAACCACTATACCGCTGGGCGGCGAGTCATACGATATGTAGGAGAATGCTAAGTAGTCGTATTTTCTGGTTTATGTACTGTTCACAGATAAAACGGTTTTTTTTTTACGAAATGGAGAATTCATTGTATCCAGAGACGAATGAGGCCATCGACGCCTCTGGTCCCAAATCCTTGTCATCTAATATCGATTAGTTAAAAATGGATGAAACATTAATAACTGCAGCATTCATGCAATAAAAAACAACAAGCTCATTGGAAGAAAACGATTGGGACACGCAAAAATGAAATAAAATAAATAAATCCGTATCACACTCATAGTTTTAATGTCATCGTCATTAGCTCGCGTTAGATTCATAACTAAAGGACCTAATTCCTTACCTCAAAGTGTGGAATTTTCATGTCCCACAACTCCAACGAGTTCATAACGATGCTGGCACTTTTATACAAGTCGGCGACTATTTACCTAGATTCTCATATCAGCGTTCCTGAGATTTTGATATAAAGGTTGCATTCTTCATGAAATAAACTAACTCATAACAGTGCTGGGCATTAATTACGTCTTGGTGAACAGCGGCCAATTTGTAAAAGATGCCCGCATCTTTATGCAAGTTGGGCCGGTCAGACCAATCTCCTCTGTCTCTTACCTTGCGTTCAGACCAAAGAACGTCTATATAAAGAAGGAAAAGCTCCATAGACGTAATGTAAACCAGTTTGTCTTCTACGCCACTAGAAAGAAGAGGGAGAATTCGCCAAGGGATTTGGCGACGGAACCTGTTGGCCAGAATTTCCCCCTCTGTGATGTACCGGACCTGGCCGAGATTTTCTTCCTCCGCGACGTGTATAGGAAATTGAGGAACACAGGTTAAGATGAATAAGAAAATTAGGTGAAGTTTCACTTTCACTGGCTGTTGAACTTTCATTATCCATACAGCAGTTTGATGTCTGATTTTATATCCATCAATATGGAGGGAAAAAAATGGAGTCAAACAACTTTAAAATCTTGATAAACGTGACCGTCGAACCTGTTCGAACTTCAATATCAGCTTCGAGGTTTGGCGCTTTTTTGGCGACAGATATTTCACGCATACGCAGCTGTTGCCCTTTTCGTTCGAAGGGAGCCACTCTTGCTCCTCGAAGTTTTCCTTCTTAACAATACATATTCTTTGGTTCAGACGGCGACGTAAATGTCATAGAAGCATAGTCACAAGGAATAAAATGCGGGAATTCCATTCACATCTGCGACACAGGG